ATCGACTTTTTTTGTTCTTTTTTTTTTTGTTACGAAACATCAATATTTTACTTGACAAACACTTTAATACTATCCTGAACAGTTCGCAGAAAAGCATAAAATTTTGTTTGGATAAAGAGTGTAAGTTTAGCTTTTGGTCAACAGTTTTAATCGGTCAACGGAACAATCAACTAAAACAGCTAAACAATTTGGTTAAACATTAATAACTAACAGACAAACCCTAAAAATCTTATTATTCAAAGAGCATAAATTCAACTATTTAAAACTGTGTTGGAGATTGACAGAACTTTACCTGCATGTGACCAAAGAGTTACTTTCTCACAGCATAAACATTTAAGCTAAGAATCAGATATAAAAATTGGGATAATGTATTACAGATAATAGGTAGAGATGAGAGATTTCAGTGACATAAAAGCTTTGTGAAATGAAGATTTTTGTGAAAGAATGATTGTAGATAAAATGAAAGAAAGGAATCACTAAAACACTATTTTAGAAATAAAAATTGACAGACAAACTGTGGCTTTCACCTCTACACGTTTAATTAATTAATTAACAAAAAAGCACTACTGACTTAACATTTTGTTCGGGTTTTCTATACCGTTTGCTTATCAAACACAGAAAAACTAAATTACACTACAGCAAAGACAATCAACAGTTAAAGATCCACAAACCCTGTCGTTATTGTCAGCCATAGACAAGTTTTAACCTAAAAACAATTATAACATTACAGTAAAAATGAATAAAATTCTCTGCTATTTCATAAAAAAATTAGTTAGCTGACTACACTTTTCATAGCTTTGCCTAGTCTGAATATAATGCTCAAAATAGCATAAAATTTCAATATTCGTTTCGTATTCTCAATTTCTGTCATATTTCAACAGTGATTCATCAAATAACTTCCACCCCTCTCACCGACAACCGTTGAAATTTTTCAGGTACTTAGTTTTAACCCCCAACTGTTTCACTGACAAAATGCTAATGTGCCATGCTTCAACGATTACCTGAACTCGGCAACGTATGCAAACTAAGCATTGTGAATGCAGATGATGATTGCCATATTAGGTTTGCAGCGGACTTTTCCTAAATTAGCGTCAAAAATATTCTTGTGAAAACTGGTCTATTATTTACGTATTCGCTTTCAAAATTTCCGAATTTTGCAAAAAAAAAAATGTGTTAAACAAGCCAGATGTGAAACCATCTGATAAACTGACTTTTTTATTCAGTTTTGCTCTAAGGTTTGCACAGACACAAAAAGCGCAAACACTAAAAAATTTATTTGTTTTAAACTATTTTCTTTCCACTTTTGTAATTTCTGACTTCTTAAAACTGTTGGTTTTTTGCACTCATACACTTAAGTGGTTTGAATAATGCTTGAATGTAACACGATAAGAGCAATGCTGTCAAAAAACAACAATTCGTATAGTTACTGTATAAGATTAAATGAAAAATCGCTAAGTAAAAAGACTTTCTTTTACTAAAGGTTACCTTATTAAGGACCTAAAGCCCTCAAAAATGTATTCAAGGCTGGAAATGATACAGATGTGCCAGTATTAACACCGATTCCAGCAAAAGGTACTGCCACTCCTTGCTGATGGTTGACGTTACCTTCCTTCCAGTCTACTCCTGTATGCACATTTTCTGCATAATAACCGCCAACCTTGAATAAATAAAGTTAGACCTTTCGAATGCTGTTGATCGCGCTCCGAAAGTGACGTTTAATTATAGTCACTGATTACTTTATAACATATTTTTACAGATACCAAGATCTTTATAAATAGCCGACAAAGATTGTCATTTCTGCTTTAGTTGAACAAAAAACTTTCAACAGATCATACCCCGGCTCCTGAGTTTACAGCAATTTTGCCAAAGTCTCGCTGATTGAGTGGAACAGAAACATGTGTACCACGATGGCCTTCAACGCCTAAACTCTGTACCAATGGCATTGACCAACCAGTTTTGTATCCGTAGTGTCCATCTATCCTAAGTGGTAGAGTAACATAACAAAAAAGCTCAAATTGTAGCTTGAAAAATTTTTAATTTTGTAAGATGAGATTTTCAAGCAAACCATATCTTTTACTAAGTCACTATTTTACGTTTAAAAAGACTATACTAGGCATTTAACAGGGACTACAGAATTTATCTCACCAGTTTGCACCAGCTTCTAAATATTGTGACCAGTAGTCACGTACACCGGTATGACCAGCGTATCCTCCACCGTAGGCACCAAAAGGAACCGAGTGCTGTTGTATCACACTAACTGAACCCTCATCATTTATCGGATAAAATGGTATACCACTAACATCTACATGTGCAGGTATTACGTCTACCTAAAGCAGTAAAGAATAATTGACAAAAGTGAAAATATTTTTTTTCTGAATTAATAGCTTTTCAGAACTAGCAGAAACAAATTAGCAAGTTTTTGAAAAAATAAAATTTGGAAAAGAAACCGATGATGAAAATGATTTTAGATAGTCCCAATAACTGGTCCTTGGCAAAAATGCATAACAATCTCGTGCATAGGCTTTGCATTTTGCTGCAACTTCTGGTACTGCGCTTGCAATGTTACTGCAGAACTTAAAATTTACACTGTCTAAGCAATAACAAAGTTGTTATTATGTTAGAATAAGCAGACAAAAAATTAGAGAAATTCTAATGTTGTTATCTAATTTTAATCTGAATTTGATAAAATGTTGTAAGAAAAAGAAAGTTCTTGATTTACAGACAGAAATAATAAGTTTTTTTACGCAAAAAGCTTACTTTACTGGCAATTGGATAAAATTTAAGACATTGCTTTTGTATTTCTTCAACCTCATTCTTCGTCGGACTCTAAAATACATTTGAGTAGTTAGTTCGTTTTATTTCGTTAAGACTGGATATATAAACAAAAGGAAAGTAACGCTTATGAAAAAAATCTCAAGTAAATTTTTTCGATAGAGTTAGATCTTAAAGAACAATGACTGCTGAGTATTTAAACCTGAATGTAGCGTGAAAACATTTGATAGAATATCTTTTCTTCTTTTCAAATACAGTGCCAGAAATACAAATTTTCTACTTTATTTCTTTCTTTCTCTATCACATATCTGTTTTAAAAGTACAGTTTACTGCTGTTTTTAAAATCATTTTTTTTAATAAGTTACAGCAGTTGATTGCTGTTTTTTTACCAAAGATTGATTGGTGATCTTTGCCAAACAAGCAGTGAAACTTTACCGGCCAATGCACATAACTGTTAAGCGAATTTTTACTGTTTGATTTATCCACTGATGCACCATACAGTTCCTCCAGACTCATTTTTATGTCATCGTCACCAGTACGAAAGCTACCCTTTGTTGCAACTGTTGAGTTCTGCTTTTCAAAAACTGCAAACGGTTTCCGTTGAGAAGACTCTGTTTCTTCTTCTTCTCTCGCTAGCTCTTCCTCAGTTGGAAATGGAGACTCAACAATTCCAGCAAAAGGTTTTTCATTCGTTTCATTAGCGTCGGTTACTGAAAACTAAACACGCTAAATGGGTTAAGTAATTTTTGCAATAGACAAATGGGGATTACACAGAAGGAAAATCTAAAAGATAATTGCTGCGTATAAACAAAAGACAGATATTTCTGTCTTAAAAGAGCTGCTGGCAAGTGAGAGTAAAAAACCACACTAAATAAAGAAGTTAGACTAAAACTGTTTTTTTTTCTCTTTCAGATCTAAAAAGTTAGAAAGTTTATTATTAAAATATTCTAATACAGTGCTCACAAAAAGCAATATTCAAAAGAGTTACAGAACCTGATTGCTAGATAAAGTCTGGATTTAGCCTCTAACCGTTACAAACAGTTTCTTGGCTGAATAAAGCATTTTTTGTTCTATAGAAGTACAAAGAAACCGGTGTTTTGACGATTCGTATTAGCCGTACTCTTAAAACCCTAGTTTCCCTTAATGAAGCAGCCAGGAAAGAATATAAAGTTTATTTTTAATAACTTTAACCACCAGTATTGCAGAATACAGAATACTACTGTTTAAGATCAAATGTTTACCCTGTACACTCTGTATTTAAAAAAATTTTTTTCAGCAAAATAACAATTCAGTTTATTCACGCCAAAAAAATTGGCCTTACCCAAGATACTTGAAGATTTCATCGTTGGCGCTGCCTGAACAACAGCTGTGCTATTGCAGAAATGTAATTGAGGTTTCCGGTTACAGGCAGCAAGAATAATACGTTCCCGACTTTCATCAATGTTACAATGCACTAAAAATTATTTGCTTGATTCTAGCCTTTTCTTTTTTTGGCATCATCACCTTTTTAAAATCTGCTGGGGAATAACGGTAAGAAAACATTGGACAATTAAGATAAAAAAAATGTCATTTTATTTTGAAGAAATTTTTCAACCAACCTAATTCAACAGACTTTTACATCATATAATGCGCAGAAAAGCAAAAGAAAAATATTCTTTGTTTACTTATGTATGAAAACGATAATTACATAAGACAATTCGTCCAGATGTGATAATCGTTGACCATTTTCAGTAGCCATTATTACCTTTGTACTGATCAGTTATGGCAGTATACAGAATAATATAAAGGAAAAGTAATTTCATTCTTTTCGTCGTTGTTAAACCCAATTTTGCAGCTTTTTTTTTTCTTTATTGTAACTGTTCGACGTTGACGACAAAGGTTGAAAATAGTGGTACGACACCAAATAAAAGTATTGAGTATCCTGAAAGTTAAACAGTCAAATGATAAAAAAAGTATTAAAAAACTACGAGGTATGTTTGGTTTTTTATTTTTTGACAACAATATCCACACGTCATTGTTGTTTGATTCACATTTTAGAGCTCGAGTTTTCTGTGTGATTATAAGTATAAAAGAATTCTTAAAAAAAACATCAAGACTGGTTGACAGGCAAGATGTTTCACTGATGACAGCTTAACAATATAACTAAAAAAAGACAAAAAACGATAATACATTATTCCCGTGCAACAGTTGAACGACAGTATAACAGGAGAATCGCTGAAGACACCGAAACCTGTACACGACGAACAAAACGAGGATCCGGTAAAAAACGAGAATCCAGTGAAACACGAAAAACAATTTTGCTCCTTCTCAGATGCTTATCGTCAAAGTAACCGTATCAACAGAAGCAGTAGTAGCAGTAAGTAAGTAGAAGGTAACATCAGAAGGAAAAGCGTAAAGACAGACTATATAAATGATTGCAAATTTTTCAAGGAAATTTTCTTTTTTAAAAGTATATTGTTGCCGTAATGTAATTTTCCAAAAATAGAAAAAAGTTGGTTTGTTATTATGTCAAAAAAAAAGACAAGAAATTTCTATTTAATAACAAAAAAAAAAGAAAGAAACCGATTTAGAAATACGTTTGGTGTGTAACGAAGACACTTATAAATCACGAGAGAGTCTTGTTTTCCTCTTCTTCTTTTTCTTCTCAGTTTTGCTTCCTTTCCTGTTATTTTCAAGTCACTTTTTCAAGCAAATTTCTTTTTTCATCACATTTTATCACTGCGGTTGTCACTTTAATAAAGTGAGCACTTTTTTTTTGCTTCTGCGAAGTTTATTTCTATTGTTGCAAATAAGAACATCAAAAGCGAGAAGTACTTTACCAAAAGAAATGATTTGAAAAAGAGTAAGAATAATTTTTCTCCCCATTTGTAATGTCATAAAAACATCAATAAATAAAAGACTAAAGTTATCGTAACAAAATTTAAGTTGCTGAGAACACTACACAAGTTGATGGTTATATGAATAAATGGTACTACTGATTTTATTTTTGAATAACATCAATTGTACGATAGTTTTTTGAAAGTACCAAGCTGAAAATACTGTTGTTGCATCTGTAATTTGTTACCGTACATCATATAATGTATAATGATCAATGTCAACCACATACTGGATTGACGATTTCGTAGCTTCTTTGCACAATAATTCAACGAATGCCACAGATTTTGATAAAAACACCGTTAAATAATGGTTGGAATTCGAATTCAGAAACAGCTGTAAACTGCATCTGCTATTAGTTAGCTGATAACAGTTGTACCCGCAAAAGGCCTTTTCAGCAACTTAAAGAAAAAAGCTTTGATTTACAGTGATAAATTTTAATTGCACCGGTCCCAAAAACAATATGAAGTTGAAATATTATTTACAGATCGAGGTTTGGCTGGTGTTACACTACATATGAAGTTGAAAGACTGTATGTGATGAACTACTCAATCAGTTCTTACTTGACATCATTTTTCAGATTCGTTTCTCTGAATATTTTACAGAGCTGACAATACCATCAAACTTATATGTGTAGGATGTAAGGTCTGCTGCTAGCGTTGGAAAAATTGGTAGTTAGTACTTCGAATACATAAGTTGATTGATGAAAAAAAAAACCACCTCAAAAAATCTTGCATTTTCATGCCAACAGCATCTGCACAACTTCACAATTTTCCGTCTGCTACTCACCACCTTTAATTTGTAATGGTGCAAAGGGGGAACTCCTCAAAAATAAACGAGAAAAGTAATCACCTAATATTTGAATAAAAACCCATAAACGGGTCTCGTTTATTTTTACAAACAGCAATTATAACCAAGCAGAACGTAAGAAGAAGACTTCTAGTAATACTTTGAATTGAAGTAGAAATCGCAATCAACACATAAAGGTGATAAGCATCAAACAGATTTGGACAATAGAACTTTCACAATCATTCCTAACTGAAGAATAACAAAATTTTGATAAAGCTGGAAGAAAGAAAGTGTAATAACACAACAAAAAATTACACGTACACCTCAATTGCCAACATGCCATCTGAAGAATTCCAACCCCTAGAAACTTAGTAAAAATATTCTTAAAGAAACATTAGATAAAAGCTCGCTGGAAAAATTCATCCAAACTATACAACTATAAAAATTCCGTAAAGAAATAGATTGGAAGAATTAGCGACAAGTTAGAGAACATCCCCGGCTTGAAAGACAGGAATATCTCTTCGAATTACAAAATTATCACTAAATTTTACGTCCACATACCGAGCAAAAATCAAGGCAAATAAAATTATTTTAAAAAAGTGAATTAACGGTACTACAATCCCATATTCAATAAAGAATGAGCGACTGGGAAAATCTTCATTAAAAAAAACACCTCGGTAAGGAAACAAAGCGGCTATGCCGTTCACGGCAACATCTCCTTCTTCTATTAAAACTTTTTCTTTCAAAAATGAAAGAACTATACACCAGAAACGGATCTGTATCTTGCAGTACTTGATAAAACAGAATTATGAAAAATATTTCCAATAAAGGAAACATTTAACAAAAATTTAATGAGCAACTTCACGTAGCCTCTGCAGCCTTGCTTTTAACATTTCTTCTGAATTCTGTCCCGATGCAGGCAAAACTAGTTCATCCTCAGGAACTTCTGGTAAACCAACAGGAACTTGCTCCCGTTCTTCTTTCTTTCCATCACCGAGTATGGCAGCTAATTCTGCCTCCAAATCTGCATCCATGTTATCAGTAGGAACCCCAGTCGCTATAGCATCCCGTATTTCATTAGCCATTGACATTGCTTCGCTGACACTATCCAGTGTTTCATCGATCTAAACCGGCACTTCCAAACTTTTAGAAAATAAAGTTAACTTCTAAATATAATGAACATCTTACTAAAAGTGCTGAAACAGAAAGAAGGTAGTTTGATAAAGTGTGAAGAGGGAATACCTGGTCAGGATGAACTCCCTGCCTTTCCAAAGTTGACCTAAATGCATCTGCTCCTGCTTTATATGCGTCCAGTATATCCTTATTCTGCCTGGTCTGTCCAAGTTGATGCATAATCTCGAGTAATCTCTGGTATTGGTTATCCTTCGCCTCAACTTCTCTTAAGGCTCTTTTTTTAATCCTCAAATGTTGCGCTGCCCTGTTCCTATCCCCGCCTCTTAAAAAGAGGCGAGCTTCCTGCTCTGCTCTAAAAAATATAATAAGTACGATACGTGTATAAGAAAAAAAGTAAAGCAGTATCTGAAAAATTGAACAGCACTCCTCTTAACTTACTTTTTGGCTTTCTCCTCTAACCGTTTGATTTCACGCTCCAATTTGCTCATTGCTCTTCTCATATCATGAACACTTGCATCACTTTCTGTCCACTGAATAGGACCTCTAACAGATGCATCACGAAATTTCAAGATCTCCTCACCAGTTTTTGAAACCCCAATGGTCAGCTAAAAATTTGGATGATTAAACAACAATAACTGAGTTCTCAGCTACTGCCTGCAGCAAAACAAAATAACCAGATCCCACGCACATTAAAAGCAAACAAATAAATAACAAACCTTCTTAAACGTCTAAAAAAACATTTACCTCGCCCTGACGAACGAGTTCTGCTAAAATCAGACGAAAAGAACTGTCGTTAGCAATAAGGTGTTTGCATGCATTTTTGAACTCACTCAGTTCCACAATTTCGACCCCCACATCGTCGTCAGGAGCATACTCGGTCTGGTAAAAGTTCAGTATTTGACGAGCCTGTGCCTAAAGTCAAAAAAATTAAAAGCTGTAATTTCAACTGTATCTAAAATAATGATAAGCGATAAGAACTATTTTATGCTGTTTTACTAGAAACAATGAGAAAACCTACACGCAATGTCGGCATATGAACATATTCAATACTAGATGTGTTTGCTTGCGGCGACCAAAAACTTGACCGGACCAATGAATACCCCCATTGTAACCAACCTTGATCGCGTGACTCCAGTTCATCCACTGTCAGGACCTCAGCTTTCCTAAATTTAGAAAAAACTTTGTCATTTCCCGAAACCAATAAAAACTTGTTAAATAGAAAGCTTAAGAGGTCCTTTTGCAAAAAATGGGAGTGAAAATATGGATCACTTGTGCATGTCTGCAATTACAACATCTAGAGAGCCAGGAATCTGATCCCCTCTTCGAAAACGCTTTTTCAATCCCTCTAAAGTAAAGACTGCGTTCTTCTCGCCCAAACACGACTGTCCAATCAAATCTGTCCAGAAGGTGATTTTACGGTCGTAGTCGACTGGGTTCACATCTCTGAGCTACAATTACGAAGTAGTACAAATCATTGTCACTAAGTATCCATTTGAGTTTTTGTACAAAATTATCAAGCTGAATGCAGAGCTTTGCTCCATCCGGATGAGCAACCAAAAAGAAATATATA